TATATATAGTATATATATATAATACAGTACATAGTATGATATATATATTATAATCAGTACATGATATATATTATATATTAATAATATATATATATATATATATATAAACAGTATAATATATGTATATATATTTAGTATATATATATATATATATATATTATATAGTAATATATATATATCATATCACTACAGTACTATATAGTATATTATATATATACATACATATATATACATATATAACATTCACACACACACAGCACATATACGTAGTACATACATATATATAACCAATATGTCCTTGTCCGGTGCAGGTTTCGAGTTTTATGGGGGAAATTCGAGAATCGTGTAAAAGGAACATCACTACTTCAGAACATAGAATATGAGATTGCAATATTAGATTTTTGAAGTTGAATAAATTGGATTTGATTAGACAGAAGAGACATACAAAGCTGGTGGAATAATTTGTCCTCCCGGATTTTCCAGTAGCTAAACAACGGGAGGTGGTGCCACCATTTACGAGCTGTATTATTAATTCTGCAGTGATAATTACCTTTATTATTAAGTAGTGTATCTCCTACAAAAGGCTCTGCTACACTAAATGAAATGGAACCTTTAGTGTCATTGGTAACACCTGTTTACCCTACTATCTCATGTCAAAATGGCCGCTGTGGAAAAGGTCTGAAGTGTTACACTGCGGTCAGCTAATTTTATACCAAATAACACATGACTGAGACAAGCTCATCCAGAAAAATATGACAACCTCAAGTGAACAAAAGTCCTTTGTAAAAGGTTGCCAACTTATATTTAAGTCAAAAACGCTACAGAGATAAAGCTAAGCAGGAGATAAGCAGTTCCACTTTTAAAGTAGACATACAAACCCACAGGGAGCTCTGACATGTCTTTCGTGACAGGCAATTGTGCTTTATGAGCAGTTTATTGAAAACACAGCAAATATGCATTTTCACACGGAAACCGTTACATGAAGCAACTGAAGACATACAGCATTTCTGACTGTAATAGAACAGGAGTTGATAAAAAATAAGTCTTACTTAAGCGGATATGTCACATTTCAGTGCAGTGTCCTCATTGGCCTTTTGTGTTTATCAGATACAAAGGATAGACGCAATAACACAAACATCATACAATTTAATCAAAGCCAATAAAGTAACCATGCAGTAAATGCTGCTATTGTGGGGCTTATGTTTAATTTTCGTTGGACCATATCTGAGATGTGTTGATTCAGTTCAGTGGTTATTTGGAGGCTTATTAGACTATTATATTGTAAGGTGTTTGTGTCATCCACCTCCCATTTCACAGATATGACAAAAACACAAAGTAAACCAGAAGAACTGGGAACAGAGAAAGGTTACCTTTTCACTACTGTTCAACTGTGGATTTGAAAGAAAGAAAATCACTATCAAAGTTCTGCGGCAAATGTGAATTCCCCCATGACAGTAAGCCAGCATCAAATTCATGTTGTCATTTAAAATGAACTTACTCACTAGATGTAGGTACAGCATCATATCTCTTCATAGATACAGTATCTGCTGAGATTTTCTGCTAAACGCAGTGGCAGTTGCTATATTTGGCGATCCGTGTCATGTTGTCAAATGTTTGGCAGTTACACACCATATGGTAGCCCGGGTGTCGCCTTTCAATGTGACAGTAGACAAATAACCTCCGTTCAGAATCAGTGTCCATTATGTAGTGACAGAAAAAATATCAATGAAATGGAAGAACTGTGAATCCCTTTGGATTGTGTTTTTCTGTACTTGTGTAACTGAAATTATCTTCCTTCAACAGTTAATTCATACATTATCTACCTCTACAGTCTTTTACAAATATTTATTTTTCAGTAGTTCATACAAAAATAGCAAGAACAAGATATACTTAATTGGCTCTGTGCATAAAATACGGATTTGCCACAGGTTGTGCACATACTATGAGGGCGTGTCTTCTTAACTGTTCATGTAATTTCCAGGGAAGCTTTGACTGCACATAAAGAGAGGGTCCATGGAGGCCACTTTGGCAGCGATAAAAGAATGTATACAGTGAAGGACGGCTGTTAGATTAGCAAACTCTAGTTCCTGAAACACACAAGGCAAGGAGAGAGAGACGCATCAATCAGTATATCACGTTCTTAGTTGAATAAGAAATGTAACATTTGTCACCAGACATTCAGTTACAGTTTCACTGGTATCTGTAGCCATGTTTCCATTAAAGTATATTATGCACATTTTGAAGAATTGCATTACATAATGTAATGGCAAAATTTGAAAAAATGCAATCCGTGAAGACAAATTACTTTCGCTTGAGGTGGTTTTAGCCTTTTTTGAAAAGAGTTTATGCCCTTAATAGGAGATAGAAACTCTTTCTGAATAAGTTCTGGCAGAGTGAAAATTTAAAAGGTCCAGTGTGTAACATTTAGGAGGGTCTACTGGCAGAAATGGAATATTATATGTTTTGATTTGTATTATGTTTTCATTAGTGTATAATCACCAGAGTATAGCAATCGTTGTTTTGTTACCTTAGAATGGGCCGTTTCTATCTACATGCCATGGAGTCTGCCATGTTGAACAAGCATTGAACACTAGCCCTAGATAGGGGTGTTCATGATTTTCACAAATTGTGTGGCCACCATAGTTTCTCCTTCACTCTGAAGGATGAAACGAGGGAGCTGCAACTACACCACTAGATGCTATAAATCCTACACACCGGACCTTTAACTCGCATGACTGAGCTGTTTCCTCATCCCTTCCATGGCTTGATAATAAAGCCATGATCGCGCCACGCAGATTTGATGCAACCCTCCTCTAATAATACTGAAACAAACAGAAATGGCATATTTCCATCATGTTTTCAGGTTGTGGTTGAGGTTGAGGTTTGACTGTCTCTTTAATTATGTCATCTTGTATCTTCTTCTGATTTCTGACTTGAGAAATCCAACTCCTAATAATCGCATAAAGGTAGTGTATGGAAACAAGCATTTATTTTCATTAGCCAATTAACTCAAAATTTTGGTAAGATTTTTGATACACATGGATGGAAACACAGCTACACCAGTAATAACTGTGGAAAAATAACCCATAATAATTCATTGTGATGTAAAAAGTAAAATAAAAAAACTATTTCATTACCTTCATTTCTATTTGTTTGCTTTCAGCATTCTTGAAAAGGAGTTTTACCCTGGTTTTCCCATCATCTGAGGAGCCTTTAAGTTGCGAGAACTTATATCGCCACAGTACGGTCTACAAGGAAAGGGATTACAAATTCAGCAGCACAGGGATTTCAATAATGAGCACAACATTTAATTAGCATGCCTGACTACAGAGAGGCCTGCATGATCAAGACCTGAAATTTTTGGGCAATAGTACTTTGAGGAAATTTATAACTTATACCAAAAGAACATTAACACTTTGAAAATCGGTGCTGTACCATTCTTGCTGTGATAGTGAATTTAAAATGTATCCACTAAAAACGTAGCCATGTTGCCAAAATAATCTGAAAATGTAGCCTACTTTTAATAACAATAGCATACCATAATCTAAGATACATTATTCACCACCTTAGTCTGGGAAGTCCATTGTGCAACATTAGTGACATTTGAGAAGCTATTTTGTTTTGTTTGTGGTTATTTTAGAGTCATTTAAAATGAGTCTTCAAATACAATGGACTGCTAACTAAATAAGGACAAGTATGTAGTGTATCAATACATAAAATACAGATGTCAAACTGCAGTCCCATGAGCTATTAACAGAAGAACAGCAGAACCAAGACGTTGGCAACAATTATGAACTCAGTTATACTTCACCTTTGAAGGGCCTTCTGAGCAGGTGAAGCCTGATCCAAAATCTATGGTGAAGCACAGTACATTCCCCTGGCTGCTGCACATGTAGCTTTTGGACTGTTGAAAGAGAATTGATACATCAACATTTCTACTTTCAGGTAATATACTGCACAAATAGTACTGTGGTACATTTCTCTCCAACACCATCAAAAACATTAAGACCACAGAAGCACATATTACATGTTACTTGTTTAAGTAAGGCTGTATTGTATTTAGATAAATGATACCTTATTCCCCCCCCCCACTTGTGCCAGTAAATGCATCCTGCTATTAATGGTGGATTAATAAATAATTCTGAAATATTCATCATACATGTCAGTCTTAGCCCTTATTTACTTTCTTCTTCAAGAATACAGAATCGGTTTTTTTTCTCCCTGTAAACGTATTTATCGACACTTTAACCATCATACCAGGAAAGGCACAGAAGTGACCAATATTAGTAACCATTCTATTTAGATCTGTCAGTAAGCAAAGCCAGTGAGGCAGCACTCACACAGAGCCGCGAACTGGCACCCCAGAGCAGAACTGACCCATTATTAATGTTATTACCTGTGTTTGACATGTCAACATGTCCACTGTAAGAGAGGTCTGTCGGGAAGTTGAATTTTATGGGGTAATCCAGCTGTAACCACTCAGGGCTGACATATAAAGGTCTGGTCACACCTGTATTTGAAGTGGCAACATTTTTTCCGAGAAAGAAATCTTTTTTTCTTTAGAATTTGCGCAGTTGATGGATTGACAGCACTACAGTCCCAAATGGAAGACGCTATTGTAGCTTACAAACAGTGTTGCCTGATTCAGCTTTATATGACCTCTTCTGTCAGAGTATAAATTCTCCTCAAAACAGGCGTGTTTTGTCATTAGACGAGAGTTGACAGTCCAAATAAGTCTCCTGAACTTATTTCACCTTGAACAATCAAGCTTATTAAGTGGCAGTTAGTCAAGATGGCTAGCTGACGTTCGGCTCTTTTTTGTCACGGATGGCTTTCCCCCCTCTTCAATGACTCATTATTGAATGAAAAAATGTAAAATAACAAAATGCCATGGAGGACTAGACGGCACAGTAGAGTGAAAAGAGAAAGAAGCTCAGAGAGCTATTGTAACTGCAGTGTAAACATGTTCCTGGCTGGCTAGCATCTTAGCAGTTAGCTCGCCAGCTACAGTACTAACCAACTAGCCCTTTGAATAGTCCGTACCTCAACAGGTGGATGAATTAAGCTGTATTGCTAGTGTGACCGGGCCTTAGTGCAGACATTATGCAGAGAGAAACCAAAAAAAGCCCACTCCTGTCTGACCCCCAGATCCTTGACATCCATCACTTTCAAATGTGTCTCATCTAAATGACAAAAACAGGCGACAACACATACACTCCCACTAGCTGGCTGTGTTTTATTGTTTTGCGCTATTGGGCCAAGTCAATTTGTTATCTCACTGAGTGCTGCTGGAAACCTCAGTCAAATCCCTTGCATGCTTAAACATATTGGCCAGTAAAGTGCTGTCCTCTTGCCTCTTGTGTGAACAGTAATGAAGCATAATAAATAAGACAGTTTGGCACACATGAAGCTGGAAGGCAAGTTAAAGGATTTCTGGGTATTAATGTTTGAAATTTTTAATAGTAACCTCTTACTGGTGGATTCGTAACCCACCAACAAGTGTTATTTGACGTTTAAATGCAGATGACCCATTTGTAGAACGCAACCAGTGGGAACTAATAAACATTCACTGTTTCATCCAGCTCTCAGTGTTAGAGCAAGTAGCTGTACGTATGAAACATTATTGCATCATGAATCCTAACACTGACAGCTTGTGCTTGTCATTTAAAGGGTATTTTCAGCTCATAATATTTGTTTTTTTATAGCCACAATATTACTTTACCCATATACTGTTCATGTGGAGAGCTACTTGTTCAAGTGCCGGTCTGACACGTTAGGCTTGGAATATCTGATAACAAGAGCAAATCAGATTTTTTTTTTTTGTCCTGTATGAGCTGTTGGTAAAAGCAGCATCCTGTGCAGCTTCCTGATGATGTTAAGACACATGACAGAGGAAATCCATTTTGGAAGCCATAAATCTTTAACATTCATTTTGCTGGCGCAACACAAACAAGCATGTGTCTCGCCATTCTTTTCACAGGTCTTTTGAAAGCACTGATGTGTAAGCTTTCTACTCTCTGCGGAGCAATATCCCACTGAAGGCCTTTCTTGCCACATGACTTAATTTTGTGTTATGTCGTCCACTCAATTGGAATACCAAGGAATGTATTTTGATTTTCTATTTTGTGTTATATATTCCTTTTATTTCCTCCTCACTTGGAAACACAGCAGGGATGTGGTGATTTCAATTATAGAGTGCAGTGTGCAGTGAATATGGCATGGGACCGTACGGTCCTTTCACTGAAAGTCTTTTCTGCTCACAGACCTCAACCCCTTAGCGATGTCGTGAATTCAGCTGTGACGGGGATAAAAAAAAAAACAGTGGCAGGCCAGCCGCTAAGTTCTTCCTGTCACCACATGTAAGACTGTTGTGACATGGTGAGCAGTGACTTACATTTCACTAATTGGAAGGGATTTTTCTGTGGGAATTAGCAACATGAAATGTTTTTTTTAAGGAAATCTCCTTAGCCAAGTCTGACAGAAGTAAGGGCATGTGTGGGGAAATAATAAAACAGGTGTCAAAAAAAACCCTCACAAGTGTTGCACTGCACCTGTCTTTTCATAATTTAGAGTGTGAGTAAAAGGAGATAAAAGGTAAGGAGACAGTTGAAGTGGGAATCTTGGATGTAAGACTCACAGCTGCATCTTTTGAAATTGGTCACAAATTCACAAAAAGCAAGCTGCTGTATACGCATTGATGCAACTACCAGCATCGACTGTGAGAATGCAGCACAGAATTTAAGGAGTAACTCAACCCTGTTTCACCGAGCTCTCCTCGTTTCAAAATACAAATCTGTCACACGCATGCTCCATCACACCTGTAACCGCACCCGCCAGTGATGTCAAGGGGTACTGACCACACCCTGCATACATCAGCCGCTGGATGTCAGCCAGAGACATTCTGCTGGTGTTAAATTGCTCTTAGCGGTTGAGATGGCCTATTGTTGTCCATAAATACTTCTTTTGTTTGAAATAAATAATACAGGTGGAGTTGGTGTGAACTCAGCTCTATCAAATGTTTGCTGTGTGAAAGTGACCTCAGAGCATTAAAATGCCTTGCGTCTTGGAGATGTGAGCATTGTGTGACAGCTGCGTCGCTAAACTACTGCGGCTCTCACGGCTGTGGTGTCCAGAGTTAAAACAACACATAATATACAGTGTGTACACAACAGAGATCCAGAAACGCTAGAGAACTTTTAATTTGAAATGGAACCCAGAGGTGTTCAGTTGCTGTATATGTTGCTCGTATAATATTGATTTGACTATAAACAGATCCTTTTCACAGTCTATTTTTGCTGGTGTCCACTTGCCAATCTCCAGTCTTTAGTGAAGCGTTAACATGGGTGTCAAAATAAAAAGCAAGACATTCTGTGACGCACATTCACTGCTCACACTGGCAGTGTCCAAGCAGTTATTATAATGAACAAATATGTTTTTATTGTACCTCGTCAACAAAATGACAACTGTCAGCTATATTTAAATAAATGTAATTATTTTTAACTGCTTCATACAGTGTCAGTGACGTAAAAAACTTGGTCTCAGGATTCGGTCTGAAATACCACCGTATCAAACAGGTCCAGTTGGGTCCGGTCTAAAAGGTTCACCAGTACGGGCCAATTTAAGTCTCAGTTCTAGGCCTGTGCATAACTGGTCCTGGTCATTTGGCAGATTTGTCTTTGACTCTCCTTTCAGCCGTTTTTGGTCTCCTTTGACTCCGGAGTGAGGAGAGACTGACACGCTAATATGTGCTAATTTTTACACCAAAATTAGCACATATGTGGGTTTTGTTAAACATGGGTAAAAATAGGTGAGTGACTTCTTTCCAATTGGCATTTTTTTTTATATAATGTGACATGCGCTGGAAAAAAGGGTTAGTAAACAATAGAAAGCCGCATGGAGGCCAGTGATGTCACTGTTTTATTTTGTTGGACAGCAGCAAGATGGCAGCCCTACAAACGTGATAGACCATGACTTACTGAGTTACTGAGCGTTTCATCTTTGGTCATCGGGTGTTTCCCGATTGGCTGATGTTTATTCAAAATGAGCGAACCAGAACCATTTCTCAGTGTCGGTCAACAAGCAATTGTGATCCTCTGCTTATTTTTTTTGCCTTTATTGACAGCTGAAGATAGACAGGAAAGGGGTAGAGAGGAGACGACATGCAGCAAAGTGCTACAGGTTGGACTCAAACCCATGGCTGCTGCAGCAAGGACTCGGTACATGGTCTCTACCAGGTGAGCTACCAGGGCGCCCCATCTGCTATTTTTTCATTATACACAGAGCTGATCTTTATGATCATAAATTATGTGTTCCTGAATAACAGTGTCGTCACTTCTTCTACAAAAATGTTAAAGTCCCATTATGTAACTTTTTTACCTTAAAATTCCAGTTTTTAAAACTTTTTGATGCTGACTTGTAATAGGTCGAATGGTGCCTCTGTCATTCGCATATGCCTGTTCTTGCACTATGTAATTTTTGGCTTGAGTGAAACTGGATCATTTTATGAATGTTTTCTCATTTTCTCTCTGATGTCCTCCAGCAGCTCAGCCTCAACTCTATGATTTACAGAGTTTCCTGATTGGCAGAAAGCTTTACTAGCTGCTAAAGTAAGTTAACCGCTAAACTAAAATGTTGGTATATTTACACCGCTAGCTAAGGAGCTTTGGACTGCTGGGAGAAGGAAGTGCAGGCCCTGAGCGAGGGGGCACCATTGGGAATACAACAGTGACAGTGTTTCTAATAAATATAGTGGATGGGCAGATTTAGATATTCCCTGATGTGTAGAAAAAAACTGGAGGAATCAAAAAAGAACAGTAGGGGGAGGGACAGAAAAATCCAAAGGTTTGGCAAGCATGGGATGCATATTTCCTTATTTACCCGAATCATATTGTTTAATATATCATT